ATTACTGCAGCTATTTTTTTTTAAATTAATTTGAGCAAAATAAAAAACCTGAGAAAAATCACAGAACATAAAAGGAATTCATCTCAATGAAAACACAAGAGACCACACAATCTAGTTAGAAAACAAGTCATTGCCAGATAAAAATGCTTAAAAAAAAGATCAAAATCATTCAAAAAACTGTCATAAACAAAAAATCTGCTAAATACTGCAACAGATAAATCATGCAGATTAACTTTCTACATAGTCCAGATATTTTATGACATAGAGAAAGGGTCCTGGGGCCTTTTTGAACAGCCTGTTTGTTTTTTTTTTTTTAGTGGAGTTTGATGTCATTTGTCTTACCCAGTCTATAATATCTGATAGCTTGAGCTTCCATTTACATTTTTAAGCTATTAGCCTAAAAGTTTGTTTGTAATTATGCCCCTAGATGGCAATCGATTAGAATCTGCACTCATCGGACACTTTTATAGAAAACCGTTTTGCCTTCAGAAATATTCCTTAGCTATTTTAGTCCACACTGACATGACAGCATCACATAGTTGCTGCAGGTGTCTTGGCTGCATGTCCATGATGTGAAACCCCTGTTCCACCACATCCCAAAGATGCTCTGTTTTACTGAAGACTGGTGACTGTGGAGCCCATTTGAATTCAGTGTCTCATTCAGGAAAGCAGTTTGAGATTATGAGAGCTTTGTGAGATGGTGCGATACCTGCTAGAAGCATGTCAGAAGATGGAGATGTACACTGTGGTCATAAAGGGATGGACGTGGCCTGCAACTATAGTGTGGCCTATGATGCTCAGTTTGACTAAGATCCCCAAAGATTGCCAAGAAAATATCCCCCACAACACCATTACCAACTCAAACTATTAAAACAAGGCAGGAGGACATGCTTTCATGTTGTTTATTTTAAATTGTGGTCCTGCTTTCTGAATGTTGCAGCACTTCTTAAATCATCAACATTTTTCAGTATTCTGTTGTTCAATATTTGTGAGTCAGCATGAATTGGATTGTCAGTTTCCTGTTTTTAGCAGACAGGAGTGCCACGTATTGTGGTCTTCTGCTCATGTAGGTTATTTGAATTACTGTTGACTTTCTATCAGCTTGAAGCAGTGATACATCCATCCATATATCTTGTATACGATTATTATTCTAACGATTTAAATTGGCAGGAGTTACATGGGTTAAGGAATTATGGCGTGTGAGGAGTGTATTTTATCATTATGTTGACCAGCTGGTGTCATTGTCGCAGTCTTTGTGCGTCCAGTTTGTCAGGTCTACAATCCAGTGTGCTGAAGAGCAGAACTACCTGAGCCTCTCTCCTGGCACTCAGTCAAGCTGGTTTGCCCTCATTGGCTGTTTTTAGCCTCTTAAGAGGCATCATGTTGCAGTAGCCAGCCTTGTGTCTGTAACGGAGATAAATAGGGCAAGGTCAGGGCACGCAGAGTTGGGTTAGAAGCCCGTCAGTGTGACAGTCTATAATCCCCTCCTCCACGCTATGCTAGCCAGAGTCTCTGTCCTGCTTTGCTAGCCTGCTCTCTCCCCATTGTCCTCTACTTGTGCGTCTAGTTGGATCTTATTACACCATTCCCAGCTGCACTGCTTAACATCTGGGTCATTTGTAGCTCGTTTTGCTTGTGTACACTGCTGGAAGTCTGCAGAGACATCACCAACCCCATGATTCGACCCTCTGCAGTGCTCCTGTCCCTAATGCTCAGAATTGATCTGCATTTTAATACTTTTTTTTTCCTGATGAAATTTATCATGCAGGATATTTCTGACTATATGCAATGTATTTGTGTTTTTCATGGTATGATAAGTACAATACTTGCTTGCCTGCAGACTCTGGGGCCTTTAGAAGCCTCTTTACTCCTTCCTGCTGTGCTCCTAATTACGTGTCTGGGTTACGTCTGAGGTTGACGTGTCGTGTGGTTGCATGCACGAGGTTGTTGTTTTGTTCCCTTTTACCGTGCTTAAGGCTGCTTTCACCATCTGCTGATACAATGCTAGGTACTGTTTTTGTAAAAGCAAATAAAAACTATGTTTTTAATATTTATATGGATTGGAAGGTACTACACAACATCCTCATTTGTAAAACTAGTAGATATGTTTATCAATACTGTCTGAATATGTGTGTAAAAACACTCTGAATCTGTGTTGAGATACAAATTTGCACCCATGTACCTGCGTCATCTAAAGCTTGCAGACACAAGTGTGTTCTGTCTGTTCCCAGCTGTGCAGATGCAGCTGCTCTGCCTGTGGGTATACATGAGACTCAGAGCAACAACCTCCAAGTTCTTCCTGATGTAACAGAGCTTGTTGAATCCAGCCAAGGCAGCCCTATAACCTACCCACCTGTTCTGATGCAACTCCAATGCCAGGGCGACAGTGCTTGTGCTGGAATGACCCCACCTTCCAGCATGGTAACAAGAGCTCGCTCTTGATTTTTAAATCTTAACTGGGATCTGCAGATGGCCTGTGTGTTCCTTGTGGTTTGGATGCTCTACAGTCTTTCTGAGAAGTATGGTTCAGGGTGTGCTGCAATGGTTTACAATATCAGCTGAGACATGTCTTATGTTCTTTGTCACCTTTTTAGATTTAAAGACTTTTGCTGGAATCCCAGTTGAACCCAAAACCTTTTATCAAATGTGTTCTGTGCAACTTTCCCTGTTAACACAGGTTTATTGCTTAATAGTGTTTAAATTTAAGACTCTGATGAGCCTTCAGGTCATCCTCCAAGCTGCAGACTGCACTGTGAGGACACCTCCGGTGCAGGCCCGACTCAAGACAGGAAGCGTTGCCAAAATAAAGCATGCTAGTCGAAACTCCACCATCCAAAAAATATTTCAAATGCACAAGAAGATTATGAAGGCAGATGTGCAGCACTAAGTGAACTTAAATTTTTGCCTGTGTGCATGTGAAATAACTGACTGCTCCAATACTGTTCTGCATATCAGTTCTGTAGCATGTCATTATTTTGAGCAAATTAACTGTAATGATTTATCATAGAAATATATTTAGAAAAATCCCCCGCTCGCCCCTGCAGGCGGTCAATCCTTCAAGCTCGGGTCCTCTACCAGAGGCCTGGGAGCTTGAGGGTCCTGCGCAGTATCTTAGCTGTTCTACTCAAGATCTTGAGCCAGTCTCCCTGTGGACACTGTTTTTAAGTGACCCTCATGCAGTCTCCTCTGTTGTACTAAGATTTAACGTAGAAATTGACAGGTGGTCAGAGCAAATGCACAAGTGCTGTAAATCTAAAAAGAGAAAAAAAATGGCAGAATGTTCTTGAATGAACTGCATACACTCATGTTCGGCTATTTGTATCCTGTAGATCTGCTCCCTGCTGTTCGAGGCCATGTCCTCAGAACCTGGTGATGACGATGATGATGGTGCTCCCAGACTACCTGTACTGGCATATTTCAGTGATGAGGAAGACTATCCGAGAAGCCCGTCACTCTGAGGGAATAACAGTCACTAATTAACAATATTCTTCTCTAATTAGTTATCAGAGTGTGAATCTCTCCAGAATATTTTTATTAAATATTGTTTATTGTTAAAATGTTTTTTTTCCAGTTACTGTTCATTGGAACAATATACCATCCATGTTGTCTGTCAATAAAAATGTGCCATCTCGGGAAGATGCCACACCCATCTGATGGTAACTGGCATGCATTGTGTCTGAGGAATGTGGTAGCACAAACAAAATATACAAAGTGTTCCCAGACTGTAGAGCAGTGAGCCAAATGTCCATGTTCATGTGAACAAAACGCAGCTGCAGTGTTCAATACACATCAGAGCCATGAAATACAGCAGGTTAATAAATATTATAGTCTTTATTTAAACATTGTACACATGTGAAAATGTTTTTGTTTCTCCCACATAGACATGCTCTGGTTTAAACAGAAAGATGAGGCGGATGAGAAGGAGTCATCCAGGGAGGTGTGAAACAGGAAGCAGGGACCATGGAGCTTACAGTGGTAGTGCCAAATGACTGGGAGAAGTGCTTTATCATTTTTGTTAAGGCTGCTTGGATTGTCCTCAGTGCTGTAACACTTAGAAAAAAAATAAATCACATTTTGCCAACTAACACTGTTCACCATCCTGAATCTGTTCTCATTTCAACATAGGAAACGATCCTTTCGATTAATGCAGATTGTAAACAGTGATCTAAAGATCCATGGGAAGGATTTTCTAAGTGTGGGATGGCTTTAGTACTATTCCTGATTGAGTGCAGAGAGGAAGCAGATTTCAGGAGAAAGGGGGAGGGGGGATAAAAAACAACAACAACAAAACACTGGGTTAAAATGATGGTGTAAAGACAGCAGGGCATGATGGGAAAGCTCGTTTTTCCAACTCTTATGGCTACTTAACAGTTTAATGCTTTGTGCTCAGTGCTGGCACATTTTTAGGGGGAAGGTTGAAGACTTATTTGCCAGTATCAATGACACATGATACAAGGCACATTGTAATATTACACAAAAATGTGGATTTTACCGTGAAACCTTCCTGTAGTGACGCAAAGAAACATACTGACCATTTTTCACATGAAACCTGCAGTGACATGACATGACTTAAGAATGCGCCACTGAAGCTCTACAAGCAGGGGGAGAGGAGGGAGGGAGAGAGACAGGAAAAGCAAATGGTGACTGTGAACAAGAGTTTCTGTAAGCTACTTGACGCGGCGAACAATCCCCACGGAACAAAGAGGTTACAAAAATACATTTGGTCACCTGACCAATTTCCGCTGCGTTGAACTTTTTCAGATATGCTCCTTAAGCTTTGTGCGTTTAAGGCTGCGAGACCAATTCAGACCAGCAGATATGGAGAAGTCTCTAGCCTACACGTCCATTTCATTGACACCGATTGCACATTACTCAATAGACACACACTGAGGAGCTCATGTGCATTCATCACCCATTCATACACACATCACACATAATCACAATCAAGACTTCAGCAGCAGCTGTGAGATTAAAGGGAGGACATCAGTTTGACACTATCATTTATACTATACATATATTTATCTTGAGAGGCTTTTGAGCTACAAAATACTCTTAAGTTACAAAATATGTGCAATACTTGAACTGGTATGGAAAAGGCAGCTGCCACTCTTTATGAAATCTTGTTGGATTATCCTGCCACAAGAAACAAACCATCTGTGTAAACCCATGTCATATCACACTTGTTTTGTTTCTGTTTTTGCAAACATTTAATGTAACATCCCAGAACAGCATACCATTCATATCAAACATATGCTCCCTGCCTTTTCGTACAAGTTTCCAGTCCCTTTCATAAAGGCTTCCTAAGTACCACTGTATTATTAAGTGCTTGCACAAGACGGACCCATTTATTGAGCCTTAATGCTGCCATTTCTCATGCGCTTCCCTTCTTGAGGACTGTTTAGTTCTGTTCGGCAGGCCAGTACGTGGCCACATTCACATGCTAACACACACTCTTGGGCTATGTCAGCATCCGTCTTCTCTGAATTGCAGCTTCTTTCCTGCGGCAACTATCAGAAGAGGCTGACTTATCCTCATCAGCATGCCCAATGATCCCAGCCAATGGGATTATCTGGTGAGCATTGGAACACTGCAGCCCGGCCAACAGGGTGTCTGGCCTTTAGTTGGATTTATCTGGCCACTGTCTGATGTAGAAAACGACAGAGAAAAGGGCATGTTGAAGGATTTCTTTTGTTGGTTTTTAAATGTGTGGGGTTGGCCAAGTGGGGGAGACGGTGGGTGGATGAGGCAGAGTAGATCCTTTAGGTGTGGGGGAAGCAGACATTAGCTGTACATCCTGGCCAGCAGGAATCAAAGCAGTCCATCACCTGCAGCGGCAGATGGATACTCCGTGCAGACTCTAGTCAGTGTACTCAGCCACTATGGAGAGCAGTACTGTGATGTCATCTGGTTTTCCTCCTGCATGGACAGGAAACAGCAGCCAGTTAGGTTTGTTGCTTGAAAAACACGTTTGTAACCGTTCAAATTACAAAAAAAATACTCATCTTTTTTGTAATACTTGGACACTTACCTCTTACATTCAGTCCATTGTCACAGGCAAACTGTGCGAAAGGTGACATGTAGTTGGGGTCATAGGCCAACACATGGGCCTGCTCTGCGATGCTGCGGGCCGTCTGCTGAATGCTCTCATAGTTTGTGTTCTGACGAACCAAACAAAGCAGGCATTAGGCGTTTATCGTGCCCTTTTCTGATTCTACGGCAGACATGTTTGTCACTCACTTTGAGTTTCTTCAGCTCTTGCAGTATCATGTAGTCTGGCATGTTGTCAAAGAGCCCATCAGTGGCAGTGAGGATGATGTCGCCCAGTTGTACGTCAAAGGAGGTGCTGTCTGCAGCGTCAGGGCTGAGGGACAGACACAGGTGAGTTTCAGGTGCAGTAATTTTTGTCATTAAACATACCGACTGAGCTTAGCAACAGAAACTTGGTTGCTAATGGATAATGAAAAGTTCAGGTAATCATCACATGAGGTTTTTTTTTTGTTTTGTTTGTTTTCTTGGAAAGGACAGTTGGGTCCAAGAAAAGGTGCTGCCATTATGAAGGTGCTACAAATACACAGAGGCAGGAACCAAGTTAGTTTGCCAGTGTCGGGTTCAGTTCCTGGAAGATGTCCTTACCCCCTAAATCCAGTCAAGAATGTGATTCATTACAAACTGTCTGGACTGCATCACGACACAGTGAGCCAAAGCTCCCAGGAACAGCCTGTCCTGTGCTCTAATTTTTTAATGTATTTTTTTATGAAGCCAAAACTACAGTCACATGGGGAAAAAAAGCTGCTGTAGCGGCTGTTCTTGCAGCTAGTTAGCACTATGATGGCACAGCCACACTTACCAGAGCTGTTCCTCATTCTTTGTTATCTGTGCACACTGGGTGATTCATCATTAACATATTCATAAGCCAAAGACATTTGTGACACTTGATAATTACACAGCCAGTATAGTTATGAAGATAATCATTGGGCAAGAAGGCAAAAATCTGTGGGCTTATAGCTATGAAGCAATGCATCGAGAACATGATGTTTCCCTTGTATATTATTACTAATACAAAGACAGGCAATGAAAATGAATGTACAAACGGACTTGTGGCAAATAAAGAGCTGTGTGGCATTATCATAGAGAGTGCAAAGTGCTTAGCTGTATGTTTAAACATCTTTATTCAAACTTTTTAGTGCACTCTCAGGAATGCTGTAACTAGTTGTTAGCTTTGACCCTTGCACTCTTTTCTGTTAGTTGCTACATTAGTGACTGAAAGCTTAATCTGCTGATGCACTTGGACTAAATCCTTCAACCAAATGAAATGCTCGAATGTAAAAGGATTTCTCAAATCTATGGGCTGTCTGAAACAGAAGCAAGGTCAGCATTTAAGAAAAGTAAATACATATCTATAGTAACAAGTAAGTGCACTTGCAATCTTTTGTTTTTATTTATTTTTTTAAGAGTAAATTGCTTAATTTAAGAGGAGTCTGCTGGTGCAGGATTGGCTGTGGACTTGTGGATTTGCCCCATCAGCCCACACAGACTTTGACCTGAGGTAAGAGGGAAAGCTTGGCACACATCCACGGCCTGTCCTGCATTCTAACATCTACTGTGCTGCTGCTTGGCATGCCACAGCAACGAGACACAGCAGCACGTGGCCTCATACACAGTGGTACACTGCAGCTCGCTGCAGCGCAGTCGCTACAGACGCTCAGCCTTGCAGCAGGCCAGGTGCGCAGGCGCTACTGAATGTTGTTTCAGCAAGCAGTCTGCCTTGTTATAAGTACAGTATCATGTATCACATCTGCTGTAAAGAACACGTGAATGAGCAATGAAGTGTGCTGATGACACCCGTCCGTGTCACCGGCAGACTCGCTCAAATGAGTGTGGGAGAGCAGATGCACCAGGTGTTGCTCGTTAAGTGTTTCACCTGTCACTGAGGACGGCCCCCTCAGCCCCTGGGGGAGCAATGGACAGCTGGAAGGGGGTGTTGAAGTAGTGCTGCTGCTCATCTGAGCGGTGGACCACCTCCCCTCCCCGGACCACCAGGAAGCCAGAGTCTCCCAGGTTGGCCGTGTGCAGCCGATGACTCTGCCGGTCCAAAATCACAATGCAGGCCGTGCTGCTTCCTAAAAAAAATAATAATAATAATTAAATAAAAACCCCACACGTCACTTTTTATTTTCAATGCAAAACAAAGAAAATGTTTAAGATTAAATAAACAAATAAAAATGGGTAAATGCAACACTATAGCACATTAACCATCTCTGCACCCAAATACGTGTTCAGCTCCCAAAAGAAGAAAGATGCACAGATGCAACATTTAAAGCTGGAAACAGCCAAAAATCTTTCAGCTTCCAACCACAGCGGAGCTGTCCTCACTGGTGCTGCAGACAAGACAGGACAACTAACTTATGAGTCTGTACTCAGAAGTTAGCAGGAAGCCAGTTAGTCGTCATGTAAAGATGCCTGACTTATTTTTATAAAAACACAAATGTATAGCACGACTTTACTCGTAAACACAGAACCACAATACCAGCAAGATGTATGGAGGTAGAAGGAAGACTAAATAGATTTTAGGACTAGGAAAACAATGATCACAGCACTCAGCATTCTGAAAATACACATCAACATCAGTCGCTGCAGAGGCTATATGTGGAAACGGGGTCAACAGATCTTCGCTTCATCAAGCGGCTAACTGATAAAAAAAAAAAAACATTCTCAAGGCACATTTTAAAAAACAGGAGACAACACACCCGGTTAAGCTGAAAACAGTGTGAAAGGTCACAGATTTAGATCAAGCGGCACAGTGCTTCGGTGTCTGCATGTCTGTTAGTTTACCACGTAAGGTTTGTTCGTGTGTCCATCTGATTTCTGATTAGAATAAACTGACCGAACATTTGCATTTGCATCGTTTTGCCCTTTTCAGAGGAGGCCGAGTTGTAGGACAAGTACTGTGGTTGCTAATAACAATAACAATTAACAACGCCTGAGTTCTTTTCCAGTATGGCGTGAAAGTGTGACAATAAGCCAGCATGCACAGCACTGTCCCACTGGAACTGAAAAAGGTTTGCGCTGGAAACCATTTATTGATTATTTTTAATACCTGTGCTTCTACTAGTGTCACATGTAAATAAATCATCTATAACAGCAGGAAGGCCGGTCATTAGGGAGTACAGACTTTAATACATACATTTCTTTAAAAAACAAAAAAGCAACACTTTCTCTTACTTTCCTTTTAGTTTTACACAATTTCCAAGTGAAACTGGGAGAAAGGCAAATGAGGTCAACTTAAAAGCACAAACTTAATAATGAGAAAAGATTTTTTTTTAATTTGTCTTTCTGTGATGAAAGGAGGAAACACGAGCTAGTGGAAGAGGCGGACAGCGTGTGATCACACCCTGCTGGTGAGTCATCTGGCCCACCAAAATATGCTCTTTGGGGGGATCAACCTTCAAACCCCCTCACGCACTCTGACTCACTCCCTTTCGTGTCTCCAGCAGTACAAATTACTCACGCTACCGGCCTCAAGAACATTCCTTCTGCCATAAAAAAGCAACACAATACAGCGTTGTTTCCCCTGGTGCACATGTGATAACGGAATGGAAAAGTACTGACACGCGCCGAGACAGATCTGTTCCAAGCACATTTGTTCACTGATGTTACGTGTTTGTACACGTTCTGTCGTCGGGAAGCGGCGCAGAGCAGGAAAGGGACCGGTGGAAGTGAAGTGCATGGAGCAGGTTGGGCCTAGTGACGTCCCCTGGACTTTCGAATGTGAGCTGGCTGTTCTATTACTCATGATGCAAAAATCTCTAGCCAGCTACCATTAAACAAAACAGATGTAAACACAGCCCAGCCCAAGAAAGCTGAACTCCATGGAAAGCCTCCTGTTTATTGCCTCTACACAGCAATGCTTTAAATCTACTGCCCTACACAGTGCAAGTATGTACCAGAGATGGAGCATAAAGATTTGTCCACAGCAGCTGTCTGCAAAGACTTGTTGTTGTTTCTTGACAATTTTCAGTAAACCCACAACGCTGTGTTCAAAATTTGTACAAATTTTAATGATTGAAAACAAAAAAAGCTTTGGTGGCCTTTATTGTCAAATGGGCACCTTAAGTTGTAGACGCGACTCAGATTTGAAGTCAGCAGATGTTCAGTGTTTTGACCTCTTCGACTACCAGCTCTCAAGGTAAATATCTCTCGTCTATGTGGCACCCTGACTTTGGTTGACCCATTTCCAGAAATGGCCTCAAGATATGAAATGATCTGATGAAGTTAATGAATTATGGACTATTTCCTATTAAGCCATGGCCTTTGAGGCTTTTAATAATGGCCACCATTATTTCAGAGCAATCTTTTCCTCTAACAGCAGAATTAGGTTTGGACCTCAATCCCAGACTGTTATAAACCAAATTGGATTTTTATAGTCAATTTTCAAAAAGTACATGTCACTTGATTCAATTTCACACTTTTAAAATTTGCTTTAGAAAAATAAAAATAAAATCCTGCCAACCAGGCCTTTAAGATCCAAGAGATATTTTTTTGTAAAGCACAAGAATTTGTGGATGTTTTTCATCACCCAGAGAACATTTTGTACCAGTTTGTATTATGTCACTTGTTGTCTGTTTCTTCTGTGAAGTAATGACGTCTATTGCAAACCAAATCAATATGTACAATTGCACCACCCTAATACTTAAGATGCGAGTCTTTCAAAGACTCGATGTGGGAGCAGTGGTCTTTTTCACCATTTTGAACTGTTAATCATAGATCACCAGTTGGGCCTGCTGAAGGTTATTTTTAGAGAGCGTCTGCACATTGTTTCTAGCTGCAGTTCAGTGTCAGATTTCAAGGCGATCAGACTTACAGTGCAAGAGATGTGGCTTTTCTTATATTGAATTTGTTGTGCTGTAATCACCTTGGTACCATCTAGCTGCCTGGGATCACATTACTTGGAAAGCATTTGCCCATCATTTCCATCGACTGTGCCAAATTTTATGGTTGTAGCCCATTTAAGCTCATGATTTGACAGATAATAAAAATATATATAAATAAACTGTTACAAGCTGAATATGGTTCTATGCTTTTGGGAAAAACTGAAACCCTGTGTTTACAGCGGCTGCACTCACCCAGTAGTGGCACTTTGTTCTGCAGTAGCTCATAGTAGCTGGTTGTGAGGACTCCCACCGGGTTGCTGGGTACAAAGCGTCCTTCCTTCACTAACCTCTCACATGTCTTCATCAGTGTACCCGAAAACTGCGATGGGTCCACGCCATAGTCTCTCCAACCACCTACACCATCCGCCACACCTAAAAGGAGTTGATTTCATTATGGGAAATAACGATTAATCCCTTATTACATTAAAAAAATAATAATCTTTCCTCATAACCATTAATTGTGTAATATGTACAATGTTTAAAAACAAAACTGAAAGAAATCTGCAAATTGGAACTCCATGTTTCAGTTAAGAACATTGAGGATTAAACTAGCACCAAGATGCAGATATGATTTTTAACATTCCACAAGTAAGCCTCGCAGCTGCATGACGAACAACAACAATCACTCCCAGCAAGATGGAAAAAGACGCAAAAATGACAAAATGTACAAAGCTTTCAAATGTCCCATTACTCAATTCAAGCATTTCTCATACTGATTGGTAGAGTCTCTGCTCGTCTAACGACTTCAGAAAGTTGCTTCAAGTAGCTCCACATTACCGTCCCGCTTTATGTTTGTTGTAATTTAACCCACCTTAAAATCTGTCCCCTCAGTTAAATGCATTAAATCCATAAGGGAAACCTTCATTAACCTTTTTACAGAAACATGGCCTGCTTATTTGAGTTTCACTAAGAGCTTTTGTCCCCAAAGGAGCACTTAGCTAGGTGCAAGGTTTTCCTAGGAAGGAAACTCTAGTCTTGTTACTCTCAGGGCGCAGACATCTGCTCCACTGACCATACATGGAGGAGTCTCACCACCCTGTGCCACAGCTAAGAAACAGGCCTCCTCAAGTCAGACTGATGTGCCGAAAAACAACAACTTTGCGAAAATATCACAGTAATCAATAGCAATCATTTAGAAATACCCAGACAGTCGTTAGATATGCATAAAAGCTGCTAAGGTCTTCAATAATAGGTTTACACGGGATCAAGGCTTCCGTGCTTAAGAGTCTTTTTCATCAGCAGGTTTTAAAGTATCGGTTTTGGCTGCTTAAGATATTCTTTATGTCATGAATGAATGCTGCACGCAATATGAACCCACTAAAAGTTCAAGCGTACAAAGAAGATGCAACAAGCACAAAAGTCTGAAAAATACACGCACAAATTTAACACTCAGAAGGCATTGACATTGAGCCTTCTGATCAGTTTCATTCTGAAAACCCCCCCCAAAAAAAACAACAACACGTGCAACCCACGGAGGGGCTGACCCCTGACCTGTCAGTCACGTCTTACTCAGTGTACACGGAGCAATGTCTTATTGTTTGGTTAAGGTTTCATCAGCAAACAGACATGGGATACTCACCCAAAACATCGGCAGACCTGTGTCGGGCAATGAAACACGCGTCGTCCCCATAGCACATCCCTTTCTTCAGGATCCCTCTGCGGAAATCCTTTCCAAAACCGCAGCTCGCTGTCACCAGACTGTAGTCACGGCTGTCTGTCTGAGAAAGTCCGCCGATGACAGCTCTGGCAACCAGTCTACCGTACGACAGCACGGACAACATCACCTACGACACCTGCTCCCACCGAAAAAACCGGCCAAGCTAGCAGTCCTGCTAGCTCAGCGTCGACGCGAGCACACTATTATATTGACTTGCTAGTTTGCTAACGAGGCTGGAGATGTGCGGCTGAGCTACCCAGACAGACAACAGCCGCCACGCACGCCCAGACAATGCCTCCCGCTGATATGACCACAGCCTCCGAGTGCTTTATTCTTCCGCTGTGATAACTAGGAGAAAGTTAAGGAAAAACGTCGCCCGTTCTCCTCCAGAAACCCTGTAAGCGTTGATTCTCGGCGGCCATGGCGCCACTTCTGCCTCGGAGACGCTACATAACACAAAATGTGGACCTACAGCCCTGCGGTCTCAACACACTCTGCTCCACGAACCCGGTCTTGTGACTGCTCTGACGTCAGACATCGTTACGCAACGTACACTTCCTGATATGGAAATGTTATATTCAGTCAGCTTTTACTGTATAAAACGGCCATAAAACTCCAGTAGTTGGCAGGTTTTACGCGTAGATACACATTTTAAGGACAAAAATACATTTACATGGCCTTTTTCTGAACAACTATAACACATGGAAATAGCTAAGAATATATTACATTAAAATAAATAAATAAGAACGCAAATAAAGACATTAAGACTTTTTATTCATGAATTTGCTACCCTGTACATATACAAGACTGCTCACATCTGGGATTATTTACCATTTCCCTAGATGCAACGTAGTTTGCAGTATGTTCTATCTCCCCCTTGTGGGTATCCCTGGATGGAAACTACCCTTAATTATAAGATGTTCTTGAGCAAGGTGGTTAAGTATTTTCGTTTACAACTGTTGTTTTTTAAAAAGCTGTAATTTCTTTGGAATAAATACACTCAGACAGAAAATTTCCCCCTAAAATACACTCAAATGTTTATTAGAAAGATTTAGACATTACAAGAGTGCATCTTTATTTGTTTAATTTAGCACGACTTGTTTAAAAATGTGATGCAGTGTACAGTCAGCGTTCTAAGACACTGACGGTTAAATGAATACAATATAAAGTTTACAGAAGTAAACAGGTGTTTGTGACTTTCTCCATAGTTGTATAGCCATTAATAACATTAATTATTGACAGTGGGGGGAAAAAAAACAATGATAAAGGAATAAGACATGAACGAAACTGGAAAAAAATTGTGCACAGCTTCAAACAAGGCATTCCTGTGCATAAGTAGCCATATTGTTACATTTTTCCTGATTGAACAGTCATATGTGGCAAAGACTAGCTGCAAAATGGGAGTGCAAAACACCTGAGGTTTTCATGGTGACATATCAATTTACCCCTGTGGACAAAACAACAAAAATATTTTGCTTTCATCGAGAAGGAGTGAATATCTTTTCAGTATTGGCAGCATGAAGGATAATCAATCCCTCAAATGCAGAAGAACAGAGCAGAACAAAGAAGTCAGAGTCTGGCCACCCCTTCATTTCTTGGCTTGCTTGGTGACCATGCTGCGGGGGGGAGTCACAGGACGGCTGCCGTTGGGCTTCTTCTTTTCAGCTGGTTTCAAAATCTATATCAGGTTGAAAACATTTAATGAATAGCTGTACACCGTCTGTACAAATATCTTAGATTAGATCACTGCCACGAAAACGCAATGCTTAAAATAAACAAAAGGTACTGTACCTGAAAAGAGCACATGAGAGTCTCATCCACGCTCATCATGGCACCGGCGTTGTCAAACTCCCCACAATAGTTAGGCGCTGAAAACAAAGTGACGAGCTGCCTCTTTGCGAAAAATTCATAGCCATCCTCGACAACCTGCCAGTGAGAAAATACAAATTGGAATGACATGTTTACACATTTTCAAAATACATAAACTAGGAGTAGCCTCAACTAAATCATGCAAGTAGACATGAAGGTGGTCAGATCTAAAGCGCAGTCTAGCAGTCTAACCTAATGGGTTATGGTTCACAGGATCTTTAACTCAATATAAAAACTCAAAACATATTGTCAGGTTTGTAAGTGGAGTCTGAGTGGAGTTTAAAATCAAAACCAGCAGGGTGTAAGTGAAATGAAGACTTGAAGCTTTAACTCAAGCACTCCAACAAATAACAAAAAAGATTCCATTTATTGTTAAAGGCATCTATTATTGGGCCTTACTGGCCTACCACTCCAAAATAACCTTTATGTATCTAATTGGTTTGAGAGGAAACTAGATTTCTGCACCTCCTTAATAGTGGCACTTCTACAAATGCACATGCATGTTCCCTTAGATGGTTTTAAGCCCAGAAATTCTGCAGGAAAAGGTGTTATTCAACACTTTGGCAACAACTGCAGACACTGGAAGGCAACCCATCAAAGACAAACCGATCAAAAACTCTGGCAATAAAACATGTACCTGCAGAACCGGAGTTACCAGCAGTAACTACTTTATTCTGAGCTTGCCGTTCCTCTCTTGACAATGTAGGCTGCTCACTTGTGGTAGATAGCAATGCAATCAGTCGATGACTAGCCATACTGAATGTTGATAACAGCTTTTGGCCAAAGGCTAACGGTGCAGACTGATTCAATTTTATGTTTGTGGAGCAAATGAAGGGTGTGCTGCATCTGTCTGCGCTTGTCTGGTAGGAGAGGCTTATGACAAAGCACAGAGAGCTGCACAAAGTACCGCGAAACACCAGCCTATCAGTTTTGCAGCACACAGATAAATCTGATTAGACACTATACACTTCACAATTCATCTTGATACGTCTATCAGCAGCTACATCATCAAGTACATTAGTGGCAAAGGTTTACTGGTCACTATTAAAGTCTAGCCTGGCCTCTGGTCAGGAGTTTCAAGTAAAACTTGTGTATTTACGTTCACAATCACTTGTCTTAATTGCAGACTCAACATGCCTCAACAGTGTTTTTCCTTATTAGTTGTCGTACTGACCAAACTCTATTTTTACATTAATAAGCTACACATTATATTCTACTACTACAAGCTACTGTCTATTCTGACAAACATCTTTTCCACAAAATTACACAAGACTGCACTGAAAGCTGAGCTCTCTTGTCTTTGCACTGGCATTAAGTGGCAGCATTAAAGTAATTTGTGACTATTCTAACATCAATTTCTCTCCATATTCTTTAAGTCTCTAGATATTTTTTTTAAAGTAAAGCTTTAGTTGAACACGTAACAACCTCTGGAAATGCGCAAATAATTTTACTTTGATGCAAACGCAAGCCAAAACGGTCAAAACCCACTGTCCACTACACACACACCACGTGTGCTAGTATATCATGTCCTGTACCAAGTGTATCTTGCCTCTGGCCAGTACACGGCCACCTCCCACCTCCCACAGTGACGTTTCTGTTTGTGATGACGGAGGTGATTACCTGATGGGCACGACAGATCAGGTCCAGGTCATGCTTGTGCAGGAACTTGGCTACCACCTCTGAGCCAAAGGTAAATGACACACCCCTGTCGTTCTCCCCCCAGCCCAACACATCCTTGTCTGGATCAGACCAAAGTAAATCGCACAGCAGACCCTGGTCAGGCACGTCAGTGGGACGCATGATGCGTCTGATCTGCTCCATGGACTGAAGGTCAGGGGACAGTCCTAAATGGAACAGTAAAGTAAAAGTACAAATAAACACACTGATACTGAGGTCAGCACCGATTGGAACTGGGTGAGCTCCATGTCAGGTAACAAACTGCAAAAACAGCGTTTCTCAAGGACAAATAATAAACGCTGATATCAAATGTACACTACTTCTAACATCATGCATACAACCAAAACACTTTAGAGTTGATAGTAGGGTTTTGTGCCAAAACATTCATTCTGCGCATTATAACCCACCGCCATGGCAGCAAAAGATCTTCTCATCAACAATGGCGGCAATTGGGAGGCAGTTAAAACAATCTGTGAAGGTCTTCCAGAGTTTGATGTTGTACCTTCTTTTACCTAACACAGTAAGACAAGAAATTATACTTCATTTTTTTCCATTATCTCATACCAACAACTTCCTCCAAACAGTTTAACCAGCAAAAGATAACGCAACAGAGAGTCTGACAGGTACCCTTAATGGACACAAGAGGCCCCAGGTTGGACATTTCTAGTCATTCAACAATACTCACACTCATCATAAAAACCATATATTCTGTTGATTGAAGCACACTCATGGTTTCCCCTCAGCAGGAAGAAGTTTTCTGGGTATTTGATTTTGTAGGCCAGTAGAAGACAGATGGTCTCCAGTGACTGCTTCCCCCTGTCCACGTAGTCCCCCAGAAACAGGTAGTTGCTCTCAGGAGGGAACCCCCCATACTCAAACAGCCTTAGCAGGTCATAGTATTGCCCATGGATGTCACCTGCAGGGCAAATACCAAGCTGAATTATACACATTGCTATTGAGTCATACACCACTTATCATACGTCAGTACATACTATCAGTCAATTGCTGAGTCAATCTTTCTGGTAAGTAAGTGCATAGCTTTTCTTACCACAAATCTTGAGGGGGGCCTCCAGCTCCAGGAGAATGGGTTGACTGAGGAAGATCTCCCTGGACTTGAGGCATAATCCACGAATCTCGTTCTCCTGCAGCTGAACATTCTTGCCAGGTTTTGCTCCTCTGACTGGAATAAGAAGACAAAAATCAGTAAGAATAACACCTAAACACTATTCCAGCTAACCCGGGCATTGCATCTCTGCCCGGACGCCAATTGGGACAAACGGTGAGTGTAGAAGCCATATGCCGTGACGGAATTCGCGGTGTTTGTGTATGAGAACACAGTGTACGTGACATGTCGTTTCACACCCTTCAGACACACCAATATTCTGAGTCAAGAGACGCATTACATAAAGGTGGTAGCCGACATTAATTAAAATATTACGTTATCTTGCAAATATTTCTGATTATTGTTACTAGTTATTGCAGCAAGATGAGCACGAGCTAAAGCTAGCTATCGACTATTAGCATTTACCATAACATTTAAATAATAAAACAAGTGTTTTGTGGAAATTTTTGTATTTACTTACCTTCTAAAAGCCGCTGGATGATACTATCTATGTTGAGCTTGTCAACATCAGCCATTGCAAGCGTCGGTGTTACGAAAAAATCGCTCCAGTCAAATCTAGGTCTTCGCGTTGACACACTTGTGAAAGCTAGCCCGCTAGCTATCCTAGCATTAGCTTGCTTATGTTAGCTTCGTCTATTTTCCGGCTGAGGGTAGAAGATGTTGCCGCGACCCTGATACCGTTTAGCCACTAGCCGACACTTTTGACAGCCTAATACGCTACTTAAAGATCGCGATTTTAAAAATGCCAACATCAATTGTTTCGTTTTGTTAAAAAAAAAGGGACGGGGACTATAAAAATAAGCGTCAACCAACACAAACGGTTGCTAGCGACGGTGTCCCGTTTCTGTTTTTCCTTTGCCGCACCTTGTACTGCTAAGCCAGCGGCTTGTGCTGGTAGCTGCTACACTACTGCCCCCTACTGTGCTGGATGGGGACAGCTTCAGACCTTCTGAAGCCCTTTAATGTTTTTTCTTTGGATATTTGTTGATTTTTCACTCATTTTCAGTCCAGTCCTTGTACCTGACAATTTTCAGAGGGATATTTTTTTAAATTTACGTGCTTTGTAAGCTACTTAACCCACAAAAGGGCCCTAACTCAATAAATGAATCAGTGTTGTTTCTACACATAACACGTTGAGCCACTTTGGTATAGCCCCCTGACACAATACCTGAACGTCATGTCGTTTGGAGAACATGAAAATTATACCAAACACACTGCCAACACAGTACAAAGTATATCTGGATAGAAAAACACACACTATGGTTTGGCCTCCTCAGTCGCCAAGTCCTCAACATTATCGAAGCAGTGTGGGATCATCTCGACAGAAACCAGAATAACAGGCAGCCAACATCCAAAGAAGAGTTTTGATTGTCCTTCAAAAAGCCTGCAGAACTATTCCTGAAGACTGCTTAAAGAAATGCTAAGAAAACATCCCTAAAAAAGTTCAGCCTGTTGTGAAGAATAAAAGTATTGCTATCAAATATTGACTTTGAAGTTCATTAGAAATTTCAAAACTTTTGGCTTATATAGTGTATTTCCATGTATGTTTGATCTCGTTTCAATAAATTACTCCACTTATTTTCCATTTCCCTAGTAAAGTATAATGAAATTAGGTTTTTTTCACCATACCGGATATTAATTATACGCAGTTCCTGTTCTGTGTTATCTGATTAGGAAATAATTCAGTATGATGAACACTTTTGCTTCAATTTGAAAATCAGTTAACCAATAAAAACCTTAGAGATGCACCAATTTCTAGGCAATCAAGAAATTGATTTTCATGTAAAATAAAGAGATGCATAAGTACAGTAAATGATACTGGGGTATACAGTAAGTGTAATTACAGATTAGCTTTACCATTAACAGAAGCTGAGCTATGGTGGAGTAGCCACATAGAGCCTTTAAAGGACACACTGTCTACCTAGCAATCCTTTCCCTTATATTTATACACTTAAAGTACTCTTTAAGGCAAAATTGAACAAATGGGACTTGGAGCTTCTGGGTTCCAGTGTTCTTCTACTGATCAACAGTGAGCACTGAAATAAAATCACTATATACAGATAATTAAATATCACTACTTATGGAAGATGAAATACACTGAGATTCGCTTCTTCAATGCATCTCTGTGAGGTTGAATCTTTCTTTATTGATTTGTCAAAAACATCCGAGGTCAAACTCTTAATTTCACCTTTGAAGAGATTACTCATATATATTCAAATAATATACATACATATACATGTTATAATCATGAATGAATGAATGAACACATTGATCCATGTGCATATTCAAAAACTGAAGCTGAAGTTATTTACGTTTTTGCTTTCTGTTTTTGCTGTGATCATATCTCAGCACAAATACGACCCAGTGAGGGAGGATGTGATTATTCCTGGTCTTTCTCTTCACCGTGTGTGATGACATAGACGAGGTTCTTGTAGTCCAGGTTCCCTGCTACATCTGGAGGGAATGCCTGAAACATCTGCTCCATCTTTGGGTACGAAGTAAAAAAGAAAGGTTACAGAGCGTATCTGCATTTATAAAAACTCAAGGCTCAACTATCTGTGACATCGTCAGAGGTGGAGCACTAACCTCTTCAGCAGAGAATCTGTCAGCCTGGGTCGTCAGCATCTCTGTCACACTGTGGAGACGAGCAGCAATGATGAGCAAACGAGACGCAAATGTCACGAGTCGCTTAAGAACCAGACTATTACTCACAACTCTTTCTTTAGTGTTCCTTTTCCCTCAGGGTCAAAGACTTTAAAAGCATTAAGGATAGTCTCCTCTGGGTCAGCACCTGTAGATGAAAAGTGGCAGTTCTGCATTGAAGAAAAATGATTTCATTTTTTGAACGTCATATAACGGCATCTTCGTTTACCTTTTAGTTTCTCTCCAAACATGGTGAGAAAGACAGTGAAATTAATGGGCCCTGGTGCCTCCTTCAGCATGTCATCAATCTCTTCTTGTTTGACATTTAAACGGCCTGAAAAACATGGAATATATGGTGAAACAGAGGTTGCAATTAATGCTCATTTTTTAAACTGATATATTATTTATTGAAAATAGTCCAATAAAGAGATTAAAACAAATCCACAAAAGCTCAACAGAACTATTGGATGGGTTGACCATGCCATCCAGCCCAAAATGACCAAAGAAGGAATTGGAAGGGGATGCAGTTGCTGGAAATTTGGAATAACAACAGTTTTCCAGCTTTGTATTAAAAAAAAATCTATTGAGTTTTTTTTCAAGGCACATTCAACACTTGGTCCTTTAAATATATTCTAAAACCACTGGAACATTTAAACAAATGTAGAACATGAAGTCAGCAAGCTTGATGGATAGTACTCAATATAATACACAACATTTTCCAAAAATATTAAACAAAATTGAATCCCAGGTCGATAAAGACTAGAACAGATTTGTTGCAGTAAGTCAAGGTTCTTCTTATACAAAATAAAACCTAAATGAACAATAATAAAGAAAAATGAGGTATGGCTTTTGATAAAACTCTTTTGAATGACTCTATCTAATCAAAGTATTGGAATAGAAATGGAAAATGGAATAAATCACACAACAAACGTCGAGAATAACTAGCTCAGGAAATAGCTATCATTATATCCAGAGGACATAATATTGTTTATTGCAAAATGACTCAGTTGCAGGTTTAATACATTTAGTAGAAACAGTTGGAGATATTTCCAGGTATGCAGTAAATATGTTGACAGTAAACCCTAGGAAGGAAAACATATGTATTAAAATAAAAAAAAACTTGGAAAGGTTTTGAGACTCTTTGAAATATGTGGAAGACCGGGAGTTTGTTGTGAACCATGTGTTATTTGAAAAGATACAAATATTCTTTTTAATGTAAATTTGATCATGTTTGTTTGCTGTGCTTTTCTTGTTTAGTCTGTGTTGTAATATGTTTAATAGGTTTGCTTGTTTATGTATAATATTAATAAGTCTTACGTTGGGGGGAAAAGTCAGCTAATGATTAAACTCATGACTACTACAGCTCAATTTATCACTTATCTGTTTGTTCAGACGGTATTTTAAAAATGGCAATTAAACATCCCAGAACTCAAGGTGAGTTCTACTTGCTGAGACAATGAAATTCTTACATGTGAGAAGCTGGAACCTGAGAATGCCTAAGGTTTCTTTTGTTTTTTGCTGGACTTGTGTAATGTATTCATGTGAAACCATCACAACAGGAACGTGACACACAGTGAGTTTACCTAAAGCTGCAAAGGTGTCCCTGAGGTCGTTCTTGTCAATGAAGCCATCTCTGTTTTGGTCCATGATAGTGAACGCCTGCGGGAGTATACAGAGTGAGCAGACATCGCAGTGAGTAAACTGCTCAAATTCAATGTGAAAGAAAGCCTTTGGCAGAGTACCGACTTCTTTGAACTCCTGGATCTGGGCCTGTTCGAACATGGAGAACACATTGGAGCTGGCTCCCTCCGCTCTCTTCTTTGCTTTCTTGGGTGCCTGTGGGGGGTTTAGCGATGACACTCTTAATTAGATCCAATAGCAATGACACACGATCATCACCTGGCTCTTCCGTACAGCCTTACTCATTATCGGTTTTACTGTCACACGTGGTAATGAGCTGACGATCAGCTCACTCGTGCGTGTGTCTTAGTGGGGGGGGGGGTGTATGCATCTATTGCACAAGAGGAAAGGTTTATACTGGGGGGCACACATTTCATTAGTGAGGATTACAAACACTGTCAGTTTGTTATGGAAATATTTATTCGAGCCTCCAGTTTTGGGAGCACACAGGGTAAGCCTAGGGAGGGTGTGGTCCACTGCCTGCACTCTCATAGTCCCAGGATCACATGAGGGATTATTCTATAGGGTGTATGTGATGACAGGAGAGTACACTGAGCCCTGTTTGATCAGAAATCCCTCAGAGGCAAGGATTATGTTGAGCTATTTACATGACTGCCAAGGAACTGTGAAAAACACCGTAAGGGGGATGCAGCGCAGTGACATCATGTTGCTCGGATTCAGGGTCCTCTCGACAGCTGCTGTCTAACCCTTGTTGTGGATTAGCTCTTGTATATCTCATGGAAGGGACCTCTGGCACTCAGATACATTTATTTAATTATTTATTTTGTTTTAAGAGGATTCATGTACTCGTGGGCAACGAGGCAGAGTTTGCTATTTCTTGCTGTTGCCCAATGCACATCACTGTTGGACCAGCGGAAACTTTATTGGGCCAAATATTACGCGAATAACCACTGACCTCTTCATAGCTTGCACCTGTTGCTCGTGTTTCTCTGCTGTCTGCTCCGCACTCCCTTTGTTTTGCTCTTTCCAACCCGGTTGGCTGCTCTTCTAAGTCTCTTTTCTGTTTTTTTGCTGCCTTTCTCTCACCTCTCTCCTCTTCATCCCTCCCATTTCCTCTCCTTAAATGTTGTGTGTGTTTTAAATGTCATTGCTCCATTTTATTGCAAACACGGAGGAAAAAGTTGCAAGTAAAATTTTTTTTTTTAAGGTCAAGACTTTCGTTACCGCCTCCTCCTTCTCCTCTCCGAGACAGTTAATTTGTTGTCATTTTGATGAAAATGTCTTCAAGTCGAGTATACAAATATCTCATCAATAGGACACCGGAACATTGTCCGATTGATTATTTAAAGGAAAAAAAGGCCTCACAACATATTGACATGGAGTACATTGGTGCGTTATCTGTTGTTTGAAAAGAGCAGACTTTGACGGACTGTTATACAGATATCTACAGTAAACACATTAATCACACAGCAGAAACAGACTGTCTCCTCACAGTCTGGTGCTTATTTTAAACAATGTTAAAGACAATAACAATGAGATCTGTATCCACTTACCATGTTTCAGTGTTAGCTGGATTTGGACCAAGCAGTATCCTCGCTGCTTTATGATGGAGCAGCCCCCCCCAAAACAAGGGGCTGATATACTCACCCCTCTCCTATCTATAATGGCGCACACTTATGGGCTATAAATACTCCATGCCTTGTTTAGGCAGAGACACAGGTAAAGAGGTCTATTCTCTCACTGCCACCATTGTCTGAGTTCATGAGATTTAGGGATAATAGCCAAACACACATACCCCATTACTGAGCCCCCAGAATAACAACAGGACATAGCTCTGGCTCGGGAAGGACAGTTGTGTTTGTGACTGACAGTTGCACTTGATGGGATCCATCATCCAGCTGTCCTGTTACTGCTCCACAGAGACTGAGGGACAACCTCTGACTGGAGCCATTTCTTGGTAGCACAATAAACAGAACTGTTAGCTGAAGCTTTCTGAGCCCCAATAAGAGTTGATCATAAACAGTATGTCATGCTGTGGAAAATAGGCAACCTTGTTCATATCATGTGTTTTTTCAAAGCAGTGTTCAGTTTCTGTCCTGCGGCAGTGCTGGACATCCAGCAGTGAGACTGAGCTTCATTAGATAATTAACAAGGTAGTGGACACACTTAACACACCATACTGCAAAACACAGCGGTGTAAAGGTGAAGTTTTAGCGCTAACTGACAGCAGCTTAAGCGGATTTTATGTTGGCAGTTTGCTTCTGAGATACACCGGTGCTCTGGATCACGTCAGACTCGGGCCTTTGAGTATGTCTGCAAACTCCTCAAGTTCATACTGAGCTTGGAAAACTGCTTCCAGGTGCTCTGGTCCCACAACTTAGAACTCACCACAACACCACCTCTTTGGTATTTCTGAATTCATAATGAAAAATCATTTGGCTTCCATCTTTACCCATTTGATTTGATTTGACTCTGACGCTGAGCTCTTCCATCCCTAATCAATCACATTTGTATATTCTGTTCTTTTTTTAATCCCCTTTTATTGTTCATTACGTATCTTTTATTTTTCATATTTGATGAAAACTATCTATTATTTATATTACTAGCTTTGCTGTGAAAATAGAGACAAATGTGTCACCTTTTACTAATTTACAAAGACTCCTCTTTTATTTCTTTGACCAGTCATTTACCCAGTTTGTCCAGTAGATAGTGCTAGCAACCCACAACATTCAGCATCCAGGCTGAACTAGTATAGAAGGCATTTTGGACCAGTTTCTGGAGCATTTAAGAGCTTTCTTAGGTTGTCTCCATACATTTTATAGTAAAATTGTCCCCAGATAAAATCTACAATAACCAATCATGGATGGAAGTGACAGCATCTGACTGCTCACTGTGTGTTTATTTATGGCACACTTGTTTGTATCCAGCTAAACAGCTGGATAGTGTTTTTCCTGGTTTTCCTGACTTTTGTTAAAATGTCTAATGTCACAAACAGGAATTATTATTTATTTATTAATAAGTTATTGTAATTGTGGCTCAAATGGCACAGTGCTGTCCTCTTCCTACTTTTTGCACCATTCTGAACCTGTAATAAATTCCGAGCAGACACCCACGACGTCTGTGAGGGTTTAGCGATTTTGGCCTTAGGCGAGTGATGGGACTGGGACATTGCATCATTTTCAGCAACACTGAATCTGTTTACTTTTGTTGTCTCACGCAATTTCAAAACCTTTAGTGTTCTGGTGTTTCAAAAGTTTTATCTGCAATCAAAGTGCCTCAAATAGGGTATTTAATTATGTTGATATAATTTCTATTCATGGACATTTTAGGATAATATCACATTTTCCAATGAATAAATCATCAAACCTTTGTGTGGTTGCTAATCACCTAACTGAGGTAATCTGCACATTTAAAATAGTGCAGATGCATTGTGTGAACTCATATACTTTGTGTGATAATCTCAAATAACATTAAAAAAAGAACTCCCAGGTATTAACAATGTTGTTCGCTTTCATGAGAATGCCAGCGGAAAGTTGCAACTAAAATGTAGCTGTAAAGTTATGATTTAGTCCAAGTGTTAGCTCTTGTACCAAGTTAGCACAGTTAATAAGTCAGTTATGAATAATGGGCTGTATTTAACACTTATTTATTTTACTGCAACTTTTAATGCAACTACATTTCTTTCTTTCTTTTCTTTCTGCTCTCCTTTCTCTTCTCTTCCCTCATCCCAAAACTGCTTTTGGAGATGTCTGCCCCTCCCTGAGCCTCTTCCTGTTAAAAGGGAGTTTTTCCTTTTCACTGTCGCCAAGTGTTAGCTCACAGTCTAATTGTTTTCCCTCTAAAATTATAAGATCTTAAGAAGGTAATTGTTGAGAATGGGTACATTATAAACAAACCTGAATTGAATAGAATTATTCTTTCTTTAACTCATTCACTGCCATTGACGTCTATAGCCGTCAATGGCAGTGAATGAGTCAATGGGTTTAACTCATTCACTGCCAATGGCTGGCAGTGAATGAGTTAATAATTGGCTCATAATCACCTATTATTTTACAAAGGCCGCAACCTGGCAAAGAAATGGACTGGAATTTATATAGCACTTTAAAAAAAATCTTACTGACCACTCAAAGCTCTTCATACACACATTTATGCCAGGATTCATTCATGCACTATATGTAATTTAGGTATACCACACAGATTTTAGGCCAGAAAATGACATTAGGCAACAGCATTAACTACTACACCACTGCATTGCCCTGAAAGGAGTCAGTATCACTGCATTTTAGAGATGAGCATTTGAACGTTCCTCACAGTCCAAAGATATGTATGTTTGACTGGTGATTCTAAGACTGGCCATGGGTGTGGATGTTAGCCCTGTGATGGAAACCCTATTCAGAGAGCACCATGATTCTCAGCCAGTGATGGCTAGGATAGGCATTGTATAGGATTGGGTGAGGGGTTAACAAAATGGTTAAATGTGTATTTAAATAAAACAGGCTACAGTTATAACCCTTAACCTTGCTCCTGCTGAGCACAGCCGAAGGTTCTCAGCAGCGTGCACGGGCCATCTTTCTGTTTTTCATCTCTCTATATAAATGGTAAAACACTGTTAACATATAGGTATTCTGATCACACTGATAAATGTTCGATTCATCTAAAATGAATCTCCAATGAATTATTATCAGAGTAGCTGCAGAAACGTGCATGAGACACTCTCCTCTTCCGACTGAGACTTAGGTGGAGCTTTTAATCCGTAATAAAATCACCAAACAAGCTCGGAGAAGCTGCTATCATTCATCAAAAAACCTGACACTTTATTAAATATACTGTCAGCATTTTCAAAGAAATGCCTCATTCAGCGACCTCATCAAAGCTATGATTTTATTGTTCCCATCTGTGCACACAGTCCTCATTTTAAGTAACTGTGGATTTCTTTTTAGATTAAGCTTTTACAGAAGAATGTATTAATTTGAATGAGGTGACGGGGGTTACTGGAAGAGGCCCGTAGTGCTTTGTTGATGATGGTGGTGAACGTGGGGTCAAGATTATATTCAGAGCTGATTGAGGCTGTAAGATTGAGCAATTTTTCAAAAGGCTGAATTTGGATTTAGGGACCTTGACAGACACAGTCTCAGCAACTGGAGCCACATTTAAGTCCAGCTGGGTCCCTGCAGAGCCTGGGCTCTCTCTATATGTTCCTGGTGAGCCAGAACAGTGTTCCTGGCCGGCACTGGAAAATGTCTGCGATTGAAAACAATTTATTATATCTGCTGGCAGATAGAATTTCTCTAGCGTGAGCAGGCGATTGTGCACAGAGAAAACGTAAAAGATTCATCTAAGAATGTGGGTATGTACCAACTTTATGTCCTTACTTAGTGAAGTGTGCTTGATCAGAGGTGGGCTTCATTCTCACTCCTGTTGGCTTGGGGTTCACAGGGAGGACACATTGGGGTGGTGTCCTTTCCCCTGAAATTTGGAGCATCGTACACTTATTTTCCTTACACTTTCATGCTCCAATTTGTGCATTTTCTGCATTCGTTTATTTATGTAAAGGAAAACACAATCATCAGGCTGCAGCTCACACTTCAACCTATGCTGGGACCTCAGCGGCTTTCCATCTTGCTTTCAAATAATCATTCTCAGCTTTTCTCATTTAGTGGTATCCTTGCTAAGCTAGACACGGTCTTCTGTGCTTGTGTGCTTTCAGACATGAGAGTCAGGGTGTCTGATATCAGGCTACCTCTATGTCACTGATAAATTCATTCATTTTGATATATCAACCCCTCATTTTTAAGATCATGTACATATCATCTATGCTAATCAGGTTGAATGAAAACGATAAAGGCCCACAGCAGCATTTTATAATAAAGAAAAACAAACAAACAACTTTTCGAGACAATATATCAGATCATTGTTTTGCTCTGTCAGATACATCTGCTGTTGCCTGTATCTAAGGTGTCACAGAAGATGCTGCAGAGCTGCTGACTGAGACCACAACACTGTGTGTCTTTAAATATGTGTGTTTGCATGCGGTGGTTATAACTGTGTTTGAAGAATTGCATTAACTTATAATTCATTCTTGTATTTTGGGGGTTAAAAAACAGACACTTTTTGGGAGGCATTCCTTTTCTGAGTGACGTTCCCGTGGCTCTCTTCCTCAGTAACTCCTCTGCTACTTTCAGGTTTTGTTTTGTTTTTTCATTGCGGTGGGGGTGAAATGACACAGATATTGAAGTCTACACCTGTGCTCATTCCTTTGTTGAAGTGTGTGTCTCTGAGATTTATTTCTCTCCTCAAATGTAAATAAGAATAAAT